ACCAGAAAGTATTTTAGCGCTCAAAACTACTCTAATAGCTCTGCCAGACACTTCACAAATGGTCCAAGATGCCGTTGTTGCAGAATGTGATTTACCAAAACCATACAAAGTGGCCATCAGTTTGTCGCGACAAACAACTCAACCGTCAACTGCTGCATTCTTTTTGAGGAATGTGCAATTATTCCATTGACCTTGCCAAACAGGGTCCTTAAACAGTTTCATTGGGGACATTAGAGTAATCAACCTCACGAAGACCTTGGCTTGCAGCTATGTTTATTGGCCAAACGGGAATAAACAGTTAGAAAGTCTTGCTCATAATTGTTCAAATTGCCAGTTAGCACCTAAGTCACCTCGGAATTCTACACTTTTTTCATGGTCACGTTTTCACATTGACTTTTCAGAACTCATCAATGCGCAAATTTCTCTTGTGCTTGTTCATAGCTATAGTAAATGACCAAAAATTATCACCTCTGAGGAAACCATTCTGAGACTGCAGCAAATCCTTGGAATACCAGAAATCTTACTCTTTTTCAATGGTACTACCTTCCCTTCATTAAAGTTTACAAGATCGCGTAAGTACTGGAAGAATATGTTATAAAAATAAGTATTGCCTCTTAAGACAATACAATAACATTTTAACACAGTTTTCTCATATGAAGTGTAAATTTAATTCATTTTTTTCACCCATGAAAGTGAAGTCTGAAGATCCAGAAAAATAAAATCTCTGGTGAAATAAATTATAACTAATGGAGCCTTAAATTGGTCTGTTTTTTCTTTAAATTAAATTATTCGCTCTGACTTAACATTGAGCTCTCCAGATTTCATGCTTCATATGAATTCAGCTTCAATTTCCGTTGTCTGACTTTGTCTAGCATTTAAATAAAATGTATATTGTATCTTAAAAGAATGATTCAATTTTATGAACTCTTTGAGGAATGTGTACCATTTAAAAAAAAAGGACTGGAAAGTCACAGAAAAGCAGCAATAATTTTTTATTGTCTTGTTTTATATATACAATGTTATATATATATATATATATATATATATATATATATATATATATATATATATATATATATATATATGTGTATGTAAACTAGCTTAAAAGCCGCCCTATAGTGCGATATTTAAGCTAGCTCCTGCATAGGGCTCTTGATTGGGCCTACATCAAAATAGATAGGGAAGAGTAGAGGCGATTAGCAATAATAAATTACAGTATTACTTACATTTAAGCTTACCTTTTAAAAGTTCAACAATAATTCTTCTGCAGTCACTTAATTTAAAGACAATTTGTACGTATGTCCTTACTTTGAATACAAACAACTATTTTTATTTAATAGGTGATTTTCGCTGTATTTTGAAATTAATTTCGATTATTCCCAAATTTATTTCGAAATTTATTATCAAATATTATTATCGCACAAAAAAAAAAAAAATACATCGCAAAAAATCAAGTAAAAGAAATAACCAAAAACAAACATTTGTTCATCCAAAATTTCAGGCCCAGGATCCGACCCGGAATGTTTTTACTTTGCTCACAGAGTCGACCTGATTCTAAAATGGTATGATGTGTTCAGCTACGGCCTCGAGAAGTTGAATAAGTGTGCCACAGTGAGATTCAATTTTATTATATTGGAATGAAGAATTAGAACGTGAGCAGGACATGATGGTGACTAGAAAAGATAATTTTTTATTGGCAATGTTTTTCTCACAAGAAAAAAAGCAAGTTCCAACGATACGCAGGAGAAAACTCAAGGAATTTAAAAGAAAGATTATATGAATACAAAAACAACACTAAATATATTAGTCAGTCAACGTAATCAGTCTGACTATAATTTTAATTTAAAAAAAAAACGCTACTTTAATTAAAAGCTAAAGCAATTGACTCAGA